AAAAGTTGAATGGTTAAATTTAAATCTAAAGTTTCTTTGCTAAGCTTTTTATTGGATGATTTATCCAACACTGCTAAAGGAGTGTTAAAATCTCCAACTATGATGGAGCTGGGAGAGATCAAGTTGCTCATGCCTGTTAGAGTGTCTCTTATAAATTGAGGTACATTCTGGTTGGGTGCATAAATATTGATAATTGAGATCTCATCATATTGAGTATTACCCTTAACAAATATAAAGTGGCCATCCTTGTCTTTGCTTACTTTTGTTGGTTTAAAACCTACTGTATCTGTGAATAAAATTGCAACACCTGCTTTTTCTGCTTTCCATTTGCCTGGAATATAGATGACCATCCCTTCACCCTGAGTCTATAATTGTCTTTTAAGGTAAGATGAGATTCTTGTATACAACAGATGTCTGGTCTGAGTTTCTGTATCCAATCAGCCAATCTGTGCCTCTTTAGAGGACAATTTAAACCATTCATGTTGATTGAAATTATTGATAAGCCTGGTAGAATTTTAGGTATTGAATTGTTTGAAATTTCTGAATACCTTTCCTAGTCCTTGGACATTTGTTATCCTTTTGCCACTGTGGAAGTTGGAATTTGATCAAAATTTTCTGAATGAGTTTACTTTTGTGGTGGAGGATTACACTGGTCATTATGGAGGATAGGTCTGAGAATTTCCTGGAGAGCTGGTTTAGATATGGTAAATTTCTTCAATGTGTGAATGTCATTGAAGTATTTAATTTCTGCATCATAAGTGAAACTCAGTTTAGCTGGATACAGGATCTTGTGTTGAAAGTTATTTTGTTTTAGGAGATTAAAAGTTGATGACCACCCTCTTCTAGCCTAAAAGATTTTGGCAGGGAGATCTGCAGTAATTCTAATATTCTTCCTCTTGTAGGTTATGGTTTTTTTACTTCTAGCTGCTTTTAGGAATTTCTCTTTCATATTAACTTTAGTGAAGTTAATTATGATGTGTCTGGGGATGTCTTATTTGGGTTGAGTCATGCTGGGGTTCTGAAGCTCTCTGCTATCTGAATTTCAGGATCTCTTAGCATATCTGGAAAGTTTTCTTTCATAATTTCATGCAGAAGAGCCTCTATGATTTGTGAAGCAACTTCATCGCCTTCAGGGATTCCTATAAGGCAAATATTAGTTTTCCTCAAATTATCCCAGAGCTCTCTGAGAGAATGATTCATCTTTGCTTTCCATTTCTGTTCTTCTTTGGATGCTTGGCCATGTTTAAAAGCTTTGTCTTCATTGTCTGAGATATTTTCTTCTGCCTGCTGTATTCTACTACCACGGGATTCTACAGTGTTTTTCAGATTTTTGAGGGCTGCCATTTCTTGCCTCAACATTTCAAAATCTTTGGTGGTTTGTTTTTGAATTTGTTGAATTCTTGCGTGAACTTTTGGAATGCTCCTTGAATTTCTAACTCTAACTTTGCCTCTATTCTATTAATCTTATTTGCAATCCAAATTCTGAATTTGATTTCTGACATCTCAGCCAACTGTTTATGAAGGGGATCTTCAGTGGCCTCTGCCATATCCTTTCTTGGGGGAGGGGGAGTTGATCTACTCTGGTTATTCATATTACCGGAGTTTTCTGTTTATTCTGCCCCATGATTATTTTACCCCATTTGGGTTTTCCCCTTGAGCTTTGTCAAGGACCCGTACAGTGTTATGGCCTGAAAGACTGGGGACCTGCTTGGTGTGGTGGGGCTAAGTGGCTCAGTCTCATTTTCAGTTGATCTCTGTCCTACCTTAGTGAATCTGTTATTTTTGGTTGAAGTATCAGCTATGGAGAAATACCAGCAATTAAGTTGCCCTGCTCCCCACAAACAACAATTGAGCATGGAAATTCAAACCTTCCCTCAACTATACACCCAGGGTGCCACACTTTGTATAGTCCTTGGGTGATTTTCCTGGTTCAAGGGGTCCAAATTACTTGTCCCAGTCAGCACTGGTCTCAGGTGGGAGAATTCAAAAGTCTTCGGCAACTAGATAGGAGGGGTCTACTGGCAGGTCAGATATGACTCACTCCAACGCTCCATGAGGGCCAAAGGACCCACCCCGCAAATGAATTAGTCTGGGAAGGTTGATGCCTCCTTCCTCATCTTGCACCCAGTCACTGGTAATCCCACAGGGCTGTGATCTAGAGATCTGAGTCCAGCAGAGGTACCTTTGGTGTCTAATATAGGCAGGGGCAGTTCATTCAGTTCCAGCCCCATGCCTGGTTGAAGTTGCTGAAAGAACAGGACAGAGCAAGGCTAAATTCCTCTGTAGGTCAGAAGCTGCTAGAGTTGAAAGAAAACTCAGCCCCGAGCAGCAAGCAATTAGAGTTTACACTCAGATGTCAATTTCAGCCTCTGCCCACCCACTGCCTTTGTCTCAGCTATATTCCCTTGAGGGCTAGGTGCTATTATGATCAGATAAACAGTCTACTTACGGCCCCTCTGTATAAGTCTGTGAGCTGCATGTATCCTGGAACCTCTGGTTGCCCAGGGAGACAGGGTGTGTCTTCAGAATGGTCAGGGGGATGTGAGTCTTTCCCGCTGTCACCACTGCTGGTCTGCAACTCAGGATACCTCAACGCCTATATGATTCCCTGTCAGCTGACCATCTTCTCCTCACTCCCATGCCACAAAGTCAGCGCAGACTAGCACCAACCCTTTGCCCCTCCACTCCTCTCAAGAAAGTGCCCAAGGATCTGGACTCCTTAGGTGACAAACGTCTAGACCTTGGGGCGTGTGAGGGGGGAATCCTGGGAGTTCAAAGTTGCAGGTAGAGAATATATACAGTTTAATATAGTTTTACAGTTTTATGCCTGGCAGGAGAATGTCATGGCACCCTAGTAGGGGTAGGAGATCCAGTTTTTAGGGGGGTCTACCCCATGGGATAGAGTGGGAAAATGTTTAAACTCTGCTTGCTTGTTTGTATGGAATAAACTGTGAACCCTTCTTGTTGGGGAGGGGACCCCTGTCTGCTTGGTGGTAGATTTTGTTCCTTTTGATTGTCTTTTGGGGGTCTCAGCTTGGCTCAGCAAGGATGATGTGCATTCTTCAATCTTCTCTCTTGGTTCAGCTCAAAACCATTGTCTTACTTGCTAAACTTTTGTCCTTTAAGTCTCCTTCTGGACGGGAGCCTCAGCCAAACGCTGGCTGCAGTCTGCCATCTTGCCTGCACCCCCCCTTCTTTCCTCTTTCATTGACAATCCAAAGATCTAAGCGAACTCACTTTTTCTCCATATACAAGCTAATGAACCAGAAGGAATGTAGTACATTTATTCTGTACCATAATAATTGATAATACTTATTTTTTATAAATACATTGGAATAAGATTATATATTTGGCATCTTTAAGTAGCATACCACACATACAACACACACACAGACACACAGAAATACATGATCCCTGGTGACATTTAAGTTGTGATTTTTTATTTCATTTCCCAGAGTGACCATACTTCAGTTTCATTATCTGGCTCCTTAGTAACTGCCCAGAAATAGCATCAAGTTACTTGTGATCCGTAGTTTAAAAGTAATAAAAATTAAGAATAATTTTCTACTTCTTTATATCATACAATTGTCTATCTACTCACATAAGACAAGGTTTGGTGATATAAGTATAAAATTATAAGGTGAAGTTAAGCTTTATATGACATGAGCAGGTAACTCTTAGAAAATTATTAATATTGAATAACTCAGGTGACATAAAGCAGCAATATGAGGTGCCTACACAGTGCATGTCCTGGGGAACCTTGTGAACAGAAATAATGCTTTGATTCTTTTTTCTAACTCAGTCAGTTACTAGTTTAAGACAGCCACATAAATGAAAAAGGTAAAGGATCTTAGAATCAAAATATTTGCAACCATGCCTGGCAGGAAAATATCATTCTGTATAGATAAAGAATGTAATCAAGTAATTATTAACTTTAAAATCAAAACAAGGATTATAAAAATTGCTTCTGAAATCTATCATCATGCTCATTGTCCTAGTAAATGCAATTTAAACAATCTAATTTGGTGTATTGATTTGTGATATTTGTGAGATTAATGAGTGAATATTTCTCCCTTGGTAAACTTGCAGGAACATCAGATATAATTAATATTTACAATGGATATTCAAAGTCATGTTTAACATCACATTCTATATTATAATAAATGTAAGGACATTCTTGGGGAGAAAGTAACAAAGAACTTGGTAGACATTTAGAGACAGTGCCCAGACTGTCACGACCCTTCCAAATGCACACCCCTATTCCTCTATAGCTTTTTAGATTTCCTCTGTAACTCCAATAATTCTCATTGCTAAAATTTCGTTGAAGGTTACTATTTTAAAATGATTCTTTCTGCCAGTATATAATTTGAGGTGTTGAGGTTTCATGGTCTGATATTTTCTTGTTACATAGGTTTCCTAGGCTCATCATAAAAAATTATCACCCATTTGGAGACTTTAAACAATGAAAAATTATTTTCTCACAATTCTTGAGAAAAGAAGTCTGAAATCAAGGACTTGGGAAGACAATGTTCCCTCTGAAGGACATGGGGAGAATTTTTTATTTCCCCCTAGTTTGCGGCAGCAAACTGTGGATTTGCCTCTACTTTCACATGGCCTTCATCTCTATATAGCTCCATGTCGTCATTTACTGTTACATAAGGACATGCTCACTGAACTTAAGGATCATCTCACTCTGTCATTATCTCATCTCAGTCCTTACTCAGTTTTCTCTGCGATAATCTTATTCAAGAATATGTTTACTTCTGAGACTTTGCATGGAAATAAATAGTTGAAGGGATGGTAACCATCCCACTTGTAATGTCTACTTCACTTATGATTCACAGTTATTTTTTCTGAACATTGATGAAAATAAAAAAACAAATAATTAAATAAGGTTTTACTATAATAAATTGTAAGCTCTGCTGAATTATTTAAATAATTTGAATCATCCCTTCTACTAGAAGTATTTAACACACTTCAACATAATAAATCTAATTCTTTTAGGGATTAAAGTGCTCAATAAATTGTGTTGGGTGATTCATTAACTTCCTGACACTCTCTTTCACATCTTTGTTCCTCAGGCTGTAAATCAAGGGATTCAGCATGGGGATGATGACTGCATAAAACACAGAACCCACTTTGACAATGAGCCATGAGTTTTTAGAGTTGGGTACACAATAAAGGAACAGGACAGTCCCATGGAAAATGGTAATGGTAGTCAGGTGGGAAGCACAGGTGGAGAAAGCTTTTTGGCGCCCACCAGCAGAAGGCATTCTCAGGATAGTGACAAAGATGAGGACATAAGTAGTAAGGATGATTCCCAGGCTGCTCACCTCATCAAATATGGCAAAGGCAAAAGAAAATACTTGGATGATGGAGGAATCAGAGCAGGAGACAGAGATGATGACAGAGAGCTCGCAGATGAAATTCTTGAGGATGTTAGAGCCACAGAAGGATAATGTCAAGAGAAAATAGGTGTGTGTAAGGAAACAGACTATTCCCCACATGTAGGGTCCTGCCACTAAGGATGCACAGAGCTTTGGGGACATGACCACTGTGTAGAGCAGAGGGTTACAAACTGCCACATATCGGTCATAGGCCATTACGGCCAACATGAAGGTTTCTGCCACAGCAAATATGCAGACAAAGGAGAACTGCATTATGCAGCCTGTGAAGGAGATGGTCCTGTCTTCCACAACCAAGTTCTCCAGAAGTTTGGGTGTCACCGTAGTGGAATAACAGAAGTCAACAAAGGACAAGTGGCTAAGGAAAAAGTACATGGGGGTGTGGAGTTTGGGGTTGACCCTGATGATCACAATCATGCCCAGGTTCCCCAGCACAGTGACCATGTAGATGGTTATGAACACTAGGAATAGGGGCACCTGGAGGTCTGCGTATTCTGAGAAGCCCAAGAGGATGAAGGTGACTCCAGAACTCTGATTTCTTTCTTCTAACTGCATGATCATTGACTAAGATCTAAAATAATGATAATAAATATAAAAATTAACTTGTACACTTATATTCTAGACACTCTGCCAAACAATTAGAAAATTTTTATTTAGATATCCAGGTAACTACATACATTATCAAAAAAAGTAGCCCCACTATATTTATATGAGCACACTGGGCCACATATACATCAAGTAACTTATTTGACATCAGACAGATTCTTAGTGATGAACTAGATGGTGACACTGACCCTGAGTAATGAAGCTTGATGTATAGTGGATCCCATAATCCCTTAGGAATGAATGTGTTTCAAGATACCCTGATGATGCCGGAACAACAGATTTTAAGAAACTCTGTAAATGCCATGACTGTTGCTATATATACTTAGCCATGATAAAGTTTTATAAAATAGGCACAGTAAGAGAATAATAATAATAACTAGTAATTAAATATACAAATTGTAGTAACACCATGTTCGCATCACAATTTTTGCACTTTAGAGGTTTTATTAAGTAAAATAAGGATGACTTGAACACAGGCACTATATATAATATGGCAATGGGTGACCAGATAAAGGAGGGGACTTCTAAGACACCAAGGGGGGATTTACACTGGACAAGGGGATAATTCACATCATAGTCAGTTTGTAGACCTGCCCTATTCAAAATGGGGCATAATTTAAGACAAATAAATTAGTTTTCTTATAGAATTTCTCACTTATTTTTTTCCCAACCGTTATTAACCACAAGTATCTGAAAGTACAGGAAGTGAAACTAAGACTATTTCTCTTTTACTCCATTTTCCCTTGGCTGTGCTATGTCCTAATCATCTGCCTCTTTCTGGGGCTCCATTCCTCATCTCAGGTTTGTGGCTATGGAAGATTTACCAAACTGTCACCATTAGTGCAGTAGATTATGGGAGCAGAGACACAGCCAACTTCCCAGCAGTGCTCCTGCCCTTCACTGGGAGATCATTGATTTTTCATCCCTCAAGTTTTAAGTTTTTTATGCCAATCTTGGATTTAAAAACTTCAGCTGTTCTCAATAACTTAATTTATCAAATGTAAACTTCTGTGATTGGTTTTCCCCAGAGCCCTACCCTAGCTACTCCATGTATTCAATCTTCTTTATCCATACCAGTATTCTCAATTTAAAATGAACAATGCATTCTTTTTTTTTTTTTTTTTTTTGCCTATTTGATTTTGATTATGTTTCATCTGGAATATACTCTTTCTCTAATACACTGATGCAGAATTTTCAATAAATAAATAAAGCCTTAGATGAAAACCATTGTCACAGGATAATAGTGTTCCTTTTTTAATCCAGCAATATTTTCCATAATCTTGTAGACTTATAGGTATATTATCAAGAAAGGAAAATGCCATGGCATATTCTGTTAACTCTAATTTATGGCTATAACACTTTTATTTCTACATGATTTTGAGAAGTTCTTGATTTTATAATAACCATTAAATTATTTCAGTGTGACTATAGTATGTTAGGCACATGGTTGATATCCTGAAAGCAAAAATCGAGATTGATGCTGCAGAGAAAGGACAAAGAGGTCAGAGTTCAACAAACTGAACCTTTGGGTAGATATATTTGGTAGATTTTACCTTTAGACTAATGGACAGATTTCTACTTCCAAAGTGGCAGGACTTCACTGTGCCCCAAAAGAGAAGGATAATACAAGATAAGACACATTACCCATGTAAAGCCAACTCACCTGAAGATTCTGTTCTTATTTACTTATGGTATCCAAGAAAGTTCTCAGTACAATTTAGGCATTAATATTAAAGTTGGTAAATAGAGCAATAGTCCACAACAAATTGCAATGAATTTTCCAGGATTATATTCCTGTGTTAATACCCACAGAAACTCATGGAAAGGTATCAGGAGGACAAAGAACAAAGATAAAAGTTGGGTAGGTGATTTTCACTCCTGGGAGCAATATTTAGGCTTCATGTATACTTCCATCGCCTTGGGGATTTAGACCCAAGAGATCATTACTGCAATCGTTATTTCAAAACACAAACTGAGAAATTAGATAAATGCCTTCCTGTTATCTTCTAAATCACTGGAGACCATGCCTCCTTAACTTTCTTTAACTAATTTATTTTGACAATTTTATCATAGAAAACATACAGATTCACTTAGAAAACATAGTAACTGCAATAAAATGCAAAGGAAATAGGAGATGGATAAGAATGCAGCAATGAAGAGATGACTGCTGTTAATATATTCTGTATTGTATTTCTGTCTCTACATAGCATTTATGTTGTGTCTTGAGATGTATAAACAATCACATGTACCTTCTGGCTTTTAAACTTAACACAAAATGCTCATCATGATAATTGGAATCATTGATTCACTTCTTCACAAGTAACTTATGTTTCCTTCTAAATATGACTAGGCCATTCTTCAAAGCTTATGACACTTATGATAATTAAAATCAAGTTATTATCAATAAAAGAAAGTAGAAATAAGGAATACATTTTTTTCATCTCTAGAGACTCTACACCAGTTGAATTTTATCTAAAATAAAATTATATATGTGTTTTGACTCTGGCTCTGCAGAGAGTAGTCCAAGACCCAGTAACAGCAGGATCATGTGGAGTCCACTGGAAACACAGATTGACAACTCCCCCATAGATCACTGTACCAGGATCTTCATTTGATGTTTCCTGATGACTTGCATGTATACTAAAATCTGAAAATCATTCAAATTATTTACCTTTCAGTTGATGGAAATTCTGATGATTTATAAGATAATTCAATGAAATAAAATCTAATAAAGAATTCTTTTTTAATTTTTCTGTGCTGTCTTTTATTACCTTCTCTCTTCTTTCATTAACAGACCATAGATCAAAGGGAGCTCACCCTTTTCCCCATATACAAGTTAATGTACTAGGAAGTATGTAAGAAATTTATTCTCAAGGGTAATCATTGATAATACTGAATTTGTTTCAAATGTGTTGAAAGGGGAAAGGCATCCTTAAGTAACATAATGCCATGTACACACACAAACTCAATCATGTTCAAATCAAAGTTGTAAGTTTTTATTTTTTTCATTGTCAACAAATTTTGACTCACATTATCTGAAAAATGTACAATATTGTGCATTAGTAATTGGCCAGAATTATGGTAAAGTTATTTGTGATACATGACTTACAACTGAAAAATGTAAGATTACAAAATCTGATCCCATATCTACAAAAATTAGATAAATTAACCTGGTATCATGGCAGATACCTGTTGTTCCAGCTATGTGTGGGGGCAGAGGCAGGTGGATCAGTTAAACTCATGAGTTTGAAGTTGCTGTGAGTTAACCTGAGACCATGACACTCCAGCCTACGTGGCAGACTGAGACTCTGTCTCAGAAAAAAATACAAAATCTGTTTCTTTAATGTTTTATAATTGTCTATTTACTCACAAGTATAAGACAAGGTGTAGTCATATACCTTAAAAATATAAGGTGAAGTTAAGCTCCATTTGACAGGAACATGGTAACTCTGGGAAAACGATTAATGTTTAATCACTCAAGTGAATGTGAAGCAACATCAGGTGCCCACACATGGTAAAATGATAAATCCTGTGGCATCTTGTGGGGACAAATCATGAGAAACAGAGATGACATCTTGATTTTTTTTTTTTTTGTAACTCAGTCACTGGATTAAGGCAAACACATAAGAATCAATTTAAAGACTATTGGAATCAATACATTCACAACCATTCTTTAGAGAAAAGAAATCGTTCTATGCAGATAAAAAGTATAATGTACTAAATATTAACCATAACAAGAAACACAGGATTATGGAAATTGTTTTTGCAATGTATCATGATATCCATGGTTTTAGTAAATATAATATTAAAAAATGAGTTTTGCAAATCAATTTTTAAATTTTGTGAATTTGACAGGTGAATTTTTCATTATTTTTCCTCTTGGCGATCTCTCAGGACCATCATGTAAATCAACATTTACACTTCATTTCCAGCATCACATTCAAGATCACTTTCTAAGCTATTGAGGTGTTTAAAGGTACAACTGGGGTGATGGTCCCCAACTAGGACAAGAGGCCAATCTGAGGATCATAAGAAGTTTCATTAATAGACAAAACAGATAGGAATCTGGGCAGAAGACAATTACCTCTCATGCAATTTCAAGAGGCTTTTATTAACTTTCTCAGTGTAGCTGTAATGTGAGAGTGGTTATTTAGGGGAGTCATTCTCTGCTGGAGACAGACTGATCTTTGCACTAAGAGCTAACTTTGAATTTACGTCTTTTTGTGGATAGGACCAGGAACTCCTCTCTGGAGCCATCCAGGGCCAGATGGAAACCTACTGTTCCATTGTTTCCCAGGAACACTGGCATTAAAGCATTCCAAGAGTGTGGGAGGGGGTTGCTGTTATGCTGTGGTTGGTTTCTGGCCAGCTTTCTCTCACTGGGTCCCTCTTAAAATGGCTTTACTCTTGTCAGGGAGGGAGCATTCCTGTCCCACAGCTATAATAAGTGTAGGGGAGTTTCTTGGGGACAAAGGAATAAAGAACATGGTAGACTCCCAGAGACAGTGCCACAAATGTCAATACAAGCTGACTTTTTTTGCATTTGCACTTTGGCTCTGATATTCTTATTACTAAAATTAAGTTGAAGGACATTTGAAAAATTATTTGCCCTGACAATAAACAAGTTTCACAGAATAAGATTTTAGGAGCTCATATTGTCTTGTAAGATATGTTTCTTAGGCCTTGCCACAAAAATTATGACCAATGTAGGTGGCTCTCTAAAATAGAAGTTTCTTTTTTCACAATTCTTGAAATCAAGGTTCAGGAATCAAGGTAAGACTATGTGATCTCAGAAGGAACAAGGGGAGAACTCTTGATTGCCTCCAGTAAGTGTCAACAAACTGCCAATTTGTTCCCCGTCTTCACCAGGCCTTCCTCCCCTTGTATGTCCATGATATCCTTTATAGTCTCACATAAAGTAACCTTCATTGGATTTAGGGATCATGTCA